GACTGGAATCCAGTTGCAGAGAAAGAGGAGTGATGAGCAAAGGGATCCATACCAGGCTGGTGAAATCCAAAGAAACAGCTGACCTGAACAAGGGGGAGATCTTGGCCCCCAGACTGATCAATGGGAAACCATCATGGAACTGATCCAGACACCATGGATGTGGGTATTAGTGAGGAGACCTTGGATATCTATGGGACATTTGTAGCAGATCAGTACTTATCCCTAGCATAGGAATTGATTTGGGGAGCACATTTCACACAGAGGGATTAGCCTAGACACAAGGGGGTGGGGCTAGGCACTATCCAAAAGGATATCACCAACTCTCAAGACCTCCTATGGAAGGCCTCACCCTCCCTGAGGAGCAGAAAGGGTATGGGATAGGTAGGGTGTTAGTTGGGGGGGCAGGGGAGGAGGGGAGGGAGAGAGACCTAGAACTGACATGTAAAATAATCTTCATTCTAATTAAAATAAAAACAAATAAATAAAAAGAAAAATGTATATACACCTAAAACAAAAGTTAAAGAAATGGATGTGAGTTACATAGGAAGGGTTGGAGGAAGAAAGGAGAATAGAAAAAAGTTGTCTTCTTAAATAATAAATTATAATAAAAGATTCTAAGTGTTTTTCAGCAAGGATCAGTAGTATTTAATATGTAACAAGTCATCATGTCTTTAGAACCAAAATGTCTAGTAAAGTGTGTGGTTCTATCCCTGAGGGTTTTTCATAATTTGACATTTCTATTATTTTTCTTTTTGTATTTATTATTTTTGTTTGTTTTTAGATCCCAACCATAGTTTCCCCTGTCTCCTCCCCTCCAAGCCACTCCTACCACCTCCCCTCTTTTGTAGCTTTATCACTTTACACTCCATAATTTTATTGAGAGATGTGATTGTGTTGGGAGTTAATTAGATGTCCTTCAATTGAAGAACAGATTTAAAAAGTGGAACATTTGCCTAATGGACTATTACTCAACTATTAAAAAATGACATCATGAAATTTGCAGGCAAATGGATATACCTAGAAAAATTATTCAGAGCAAGGTAATCCAGAACCAGAAAGATACACTTATGAATGGATATTAGCTGTTAAGCAAAGGCTAATCACACTACAATACATATACCTAGAAAGGCTAAGTAACAAGGAGCGTTCTAGGTGGGGACAGATGAAACTCTCTGTGGAGGGGAAATAGAATATATTTTGCAGGTGGACTGGATTGTGTGTGGATGGAAAGAGGAGGGAACTAGTGGAGAATGGAGGAACAAAGGAAAAGATGATTCAAATTAATTGGATATGGAAGTCTGGTGCAGTGGAAACTTCCTGGAACCTATGACATGGCTAACCCTAGCAAGTACTCTTAGTAATGGTTGATGCAGAGCCTGACCTGGCCATCTTCTGTAACAAGGCAAAGCTTACAAGGGTTGGACTGGGACATCAACCCAACTACATCCAAGAGAGGGAGTCCATGCCCTCTCTTGCCTGAATAAGTGCCTGGATAAGAATTCGAAGCTAGGTATCTTGTAGACCTATGCTAAAACCAAACATGACTGTCCCCCTCCAAAAAAAGTCAGTGAAATCATTCCTAATCATATTCTGCTATACTCACATAACAGTATCTAGCCCAAGCATGTTCAGAGGGGCTTCATCCAGAACCTGATGGGAGCAGATGCACAGACCCACAGCTAAATATTAGATGTAACCCACAGAAGATGGGAAGGAAGGATTGTAGTAACCAAAGATTATCAGGAGAACACAGCCCACAGGTCAATCAAGCAGTGCTCCTAAGGGCTCATGGACAGTAAAGCTAATATCAAGGAGACTGCATGGGTCTATGTTAGGTACTCTGTATATAAGTTGAGGTTGTTTAACTTGAGAATTTTTAAAATCCTAATAGAGGGAGTTGATGCATCTCTGACTCTTTTGCCTTCCCTTAGGATTCTTTTCTTCCAACTACATTGTTTTGCCCAGCCTTGATGTGAGGGTTTGTGCCTAGTCTTATTGTAACTTGGGATGCTAATTCAGTTGATATCTCTGGGAGTCCTGATCTTTTCTGATGGGAAACAGAGGAGGAGTGGACCTGGGGGAGAGGAGAGTTGGGGAGGAGCTAGGAAGAGTAGAGGTAGGTGAGTCTGTAGGCAGGATATATTGTGTGAGAAAATAAAAAGAGAAAACAATGTTTAAAAGTTGTCTTTATTTCTCTCTCTTTCCCTCCTTTTTTTTCTCTTTAAATTAAGAAAAAGAGTCAGGGGCTTCCTTGTGACAGTGACAGCTAAGTATGTTTATGATTTCTGTAATTAAAACATAAGGAACAATTCTTTCACTTAGCTTTCCCAGCTCTACCCTATAGGAACATTCACAGCCCTTGCTAGGCTTCCCTATGGCTGTTAGATTTACCTGGTGTGTGATCAGAATCTTCGCTCAAGGCTTCTGCAGGAATCATACTGCCAATGGCCCAATCCAGGTCATCTTCAGGATCTTGGGTCAGACCACAGCTTACAGTCCAGTCTCCTGATGTTTCAAAATTACAGCTTCCTGCTGTGCTTATGTAATATCCTAGTGAAAAAAAAAGATATTCACAAAATCTTTACAAAATGCCTACACATTCCACAATTGGTTTGTTTCTTAATTTTGAAACATTTTGGTGTGCATGGTGTGTGTGTGTGTGTGTGTGTGTGTGTGTGTGGAGAGAGAGAGAGAGAGAGAGAGAGAGAGAGAGAGAGAGAGGAGTGTTTGTTTTGCATAGAGTGTGCTCATGCCATGGAGTGTGTGTGGAGGTCAGACAACAACCTCTGGTGTCAGTGCAGGTCTACCTTCTTGTCTGAGACAGCATCTAATTCTGTTTGCGGCTCCCTGTCCCAGGGTAGTGGGCTGGGAACTTCTGGGATTTGTTCTGCTGTGTCTGCCTAGCCTCTTGATGCTGGAACACTAGGAACACAGAGGCACACCACTCTTCCTGGCTTGACATAAGTTCTAGAAATTTCACCTCAGGTCTTTCAGCTAGATGGCAAGTGATTTACCCACTGAACCATCTCTAGAATGCATATATTTTAGTTATTTATATATGAATTCTATACAACTGAAGTATGTGCACTAACTAATTGGTGATGTCTCATTTATTCTGTAATGTTCTCTCAAGAGATCTAGAAACTATGTCAGCATAGTGCCATTTACATGTTACATAATTATCTGGATTAAGTACTAACATTTACAGGTGACATATAAAACCAGGCCTATGCCCAAACAAAGTGTATAACATTATGATGACTTGGACCATTCTAGATGAATAAAAACACACTCCATTGTCTAGATGCTTTAGTGTATCCAGATTCGCTCTGAATAGCATAGGCTGTTAGCAAGGCAAAAATGCTTACAAAAGGAGAGGTACCTGAGCAAAGCAGTAGACCATGCTGGGCACAAACCATTCTGGATATTATCTGAGCACATATCCAGGCTAGCTCCTAAGCAAAGAAAGCAGGTGTCTTCTAATATTATTGACTGGTAACTCATTCAAAATTAAATAAATTTTTCACAATGAGAGACATTAATAGGTGAGAAGTCCACTAGTCACTTGTGAAGTGTTCTAAAACAATGTCTCAGTAGCCAGACTTTCATCTGGTCTCCCTTTTGATCCAGGAGTTAGTAGTATTTTGAGCACATTGATTGACATGTGTGACTGTCTCATTTCTAATTTGAATTAAAAAAATGGAGGGAAAAAATCTGTTACACAGACAGAGTGAATTCTTCCGTTACTTAACCAGTATGCATAAGCTGAGATAGCCACCAGCACTTCCTTTCTTTTAAAAGGATAGTTTCTGTTATCCCTAAAATTTCTTCTTGTCCATATCCTTTTCTTAATAAAACACCAATCTTAGCTAATTAAAGCTTAAACAGCAAAACATTCTGTGTAAACGTTAATCGGATGCCAAAGACAGAACACAAGAATGAAGGCTCTTTTACACCATATTGAGTTCCTGAGATAATTTCTATAAACAATTATTTTAATTGTTTAAGAATTGTTTACTTTTATCCTTAGAACCAATAATTTTAATCATTCCTTTCTTCTATTAGTAAATTATTTTAACTCACTTGAATGACCACAAAATCTATTTGTTTTATGTGTTTAGTTATTGACTTTACTTCTTATGCATGTAATGCTAGCATTCTATAATACAGAATAGGATTATATTATGCATACATGTAAAAAAGCTCACCAATATCAGCATTTAGCCAACATGTCATCAAACATTCAAAACCTTCTTGCATATACCCAGGACTGCTGTTAGACTTTTACACACAGGTTCTGTGCTGTTTCTATTTCCGTGTACCTCACTCCCTGACCCGTACATCTAATGCTCTGTTCTATTGCCTTACCCCTAAGATAACCTTGTTCTTCCTGGCTCAACCTACCTACCATAGGACCCTTTCAACTTTCAAAACACACATGTGACTAGGATATCTTATTTTTTAATAATATTTCTTTCTTAATTTAATTTTTTAAAAATTTTATTTAAATTAGAAACAAGCTTACATATCAATCTCAGTTCCCTCTCTCTTCCATCCTCCCATAGCCCCCCAACCCTCCCCCCCAATTCCATCCCCATCCACTCCCCAGGGAGGGCGAGGCCTTCCATGAGGGATCATCAAAATCTGACAAGTCATTTGGGGCAGGGCTTAGGCCCTCCCCTGTGTATCTAGGCTGAGAATATCTCTCCATGGGAAATGGGCTCCTGAAGTCAGTTCAAAGAATGCATACAGAAAATGTACATTTACACAATGGAGTACTACTCAGTGTGTGTGTGTGTGTGTGTGTGTGTGTGTGTGTGGGACAAAACCAATGGAATCTTGACACTTGATGCCCTTCAACCGAAGACTAGGATATATTTCCTACCTGTTATTTTCTCCATCTTAAAAGAGTTGATTTGTGTGTGTGTGTGTTCTAAAGTGAATCTCTGCCTTTTATCCTGACTCCTCATCAGAGCTTTATTCCTCCTCTACAGCTCATGTCCTTTAAAGTCACACATTTCCTTGTCTTCTAGTGTCATAGTCCCTGACCATTTCTTTATCACAGCTCCCACTAATCTTCCACCTTCATTTTAAAAGCCATGTACTTAGTTAGATTTTTCACTCTGTAGCCTCACTTGTCCTACCCAAATACTTATAAGTAGGTGTCCTGCAAATATTCACACATGATGAAATACAAACTAACAAATTCAAACATTTCTGGAACATGCCATTTGGAATATGCAAGCATCACTTACAAACCATTTCAGTGTTCTCTCCAAGTATGCCCTCTGTGAGATTTCCATGTAATATGACTCATCTGTTTTTGTAAAGCTCAAATATCTAGAGTCACTATTGGTTCTATATCCTTATTTATATACTCAACATGTCACCAGTAACTGGATATTTTCCCTGTGAGATTTGTGCATCCCCTTGTTTGAAGTTTCATGACATTCACACTGGTTCAAGCCCATGATTTATTTGTAGAGATTATCTTTAGCATAGGCTTCATCCTACCCACCTTACAAATTCAAGCCACATTAATCATCCTTAACACTGTTCTTAAGTTATTTTAACTTGGTTAAAATAGTCCATTTTTCCACACAGTGTGAAAACACCCTTACAAATCCTAGCTTTGAATATTATAACATTTACTTGGATAAAAAACTTTTTAGGATGAATCTGTCTCATCTTAGCAATTGTCTCAACCTCAACCATGCGTTACAAGATCGTCTCTCTAAAATAAACTGACTGTATAAAACATTGATGCTTAGACCTATGTCTATACTTTAAAAAATACGTGACCAGAAGTTGGTTATTCTTTTTCTTAACCATTCTTTCTATGTTTTACTTACGATAAAACCTTTCCTTTATTTTTATTGTATGTATATGAGTGTTTTTGTCTGCATGTACATCAGTATACCACATGTGTGCAATAAGATAGAATATAATCTAAGCAATCACTAGAGCCTTCATCCAGTAGCTGACAGAAGCAAAATCAGACACCCACAGCTAAACACTAAGCTTAACTCCTGAAATCCAGTTGCAGAGAGGGAGGAGTGATGAGCAAAGTGATCAAGACCAGGCTGGAGAAACATAGAAACAGCTGACCTGAACAAGGGGAATTCATGGACCCCAGACTGGGAAGCCAGCATAGGACAGACCCAGATCCCCTGAATGTTGGTGTCAGTTAGGAGGCCTGGGCAATCTATGCAGCCTCTATTAGTGGGTCAGTATTTATTCCTAGTATACGAATGGACTTTGGGAGCCCATTCCACATAGGAGCCCATTCCACTCTCTCAGCCCAGACACACGGGAAGGGCCTAGGCCCTATCCCTAAGGACATGACAGACTCTGAAGATCCCCCATGAAAGGCTTCACCATCCCTGGGGAGTAGAAAGGGGAAGGGATATGGGGTTGTTAGGGGGCAGGGGATGAGGGAGGAACAGGGAACTGGGATTGACATGTAAAACAAGTTTGTTTCTAATTTAAATAAAAAAGGAAAAAGAATCTATATTAATCACTCTGTATAAACATCAACTCTAAATAGATCAAATATCTCAAAATAAATCTGATAGATTAGAAAATGGGAACTCCTTTAACTCATTGGTACAGGAGAAGACTTTCAGCAATTAATAAATAGGAACTCATGAAACTGAAAAGCTTCTGTAAGGTAAAGGACACCAGCATTCAGACAAAGCAGCAGCCTATAGAATGGGAAAATAGTTTTACTAACAACACATTTATTATAGAGCTAATATGCTAAATATATAAAAAGAACTCAAGGAACTAGATATCAAAAAGCCAATAAACCAATTCAAATATTGGATACAGATCTAAACAGAAAATTGTCAACAGAAGAAACTCAAGTAGCTGAAATGAACTTAAAGAAATGTTTAACATTAGCCATCAGGAATATGCAAATCAAAACTACTTTGAGATTCCATCTCCTCGACTGCTGGTGGGAGTGCAAACTTGTACAGTCATAATGGAAATCAGTGTGGTGGTTCCCTAGGAAGATGTGAATAGATCTACCTTAAGATTAAGCTATACTACTCTTGGTCATACACCCAAAGGATGTTCCTTTCTACCCTAGAGACATCTGTTCAACTATGTTCATTGCTGCTCTATTCATAATAGTCAGTAAAGGAAACAACCTACATGTCCTTCAAAAAAAGAATGAATAAAGAAAATATGCTGCATTTATACAATGGAGTAACACTCAGGCATTTAAAAATGACATCATTGAATTCACAGGTAAATTGTTGGAGCTAGAAAAAATAATCCTAAGTGAGGTATCCCAGACCCAACAGATAATATGGTTTGTATTTGCTTACATGTGGATATTAGCTATAAAGTGAATGATAACCAAACTGCAATCCATAAAACCACCAAGGTTAGATACAGAGTAAGCAAGTAGTGGGGACAGGTAGCTCCTATTAGGAAAGTGAAATAGGATAGATACTGTGGAATATGGAAGGAGAACTGAAATGGGAAAACACAGTGGAGAGAGGAAGGGAAGTGGTGAAGTATGGAACACAGGGAGAGACAGC